TTTTGCACGAGACGCAGCGCCCTTTGAATGGTGCGGCAGCGGCATTCACGGCGATAGCGTGTATCGTGGCGTGCTCGTTCGGTCCCCGAGTCCGATGTCCCCAGCTGTTGCTATTGCCGTAGGACCCCGGTCTCTGTCGACGTAAGAAGTCGACCTTCTCCGCCATAGCAAGAATCTCGTTGAGTTCGGTGACATTGCACAGCTGAATTTCTTGAGCAATGTCATGTTCCAAGCCGCCGATGTAGCGATCGATATGCTCTCCCTCGTGCATATATCCCACCTGCTCGCACAATGCTAGAAACCCGCCTGTGTAGTCCTATACGAATTCAAGCTGGCGCCAAGTGCGGAGCTTCTGATGCGCCGCGATGCAAGTCGCGATCGGCTCAAATCTTGTGCATAGACTTGCACACCACGCGTACCACATGCGATATTGGGGTACCTCCACGAAATTCGACGGCGCCCAAGGGCCGGTTTGTCCTTCCCGTGTTGGTTGAGTCTCGTAATCCGTCGGCTTCGTGACGATGACGCGCCACCAGTCCATGGCGGGTCCTCGCAGCAGCGACATGGCATATCGAATCTCAGCATTGTCCACCGAGATGTGGTTGGCGTCGAAGAAAACGTTCATCGTGAACAACCACGCCTGAACAGTTAGACCACCCCGTTGGCTCGGATCGAAGCAAGGCGGACGCTGCGGCTTGAGCGGCATCGACGACAGCAGTGCCGACTCGTCGTTTGGCACCGGAATCGTGACTCGAGTTTGGCTCCTCGACGCGTTTGTCGCTTCGGGGTGTGTCGCGCCGTGGTCGTCATCTCCGTCATTGCGAGCGATGCTATCACTAGCCGCGCTCGAGGGTTGCCCTACACTTCCGTATTGTGATGCCTGACGTGCTGTTCGTCCTTGTGTGCGTTGTATTTGTGACTGTGCTTGTTGCGCCCGTGAGACATCATTTTGCAGTGACGTGCGTTTTGCCGTCAGTGCCGCAATTTCCTCGGTGCTTTCGTGCAGTTGTTGCAGCAATTGGCCTAGGCGTTCCTACGTGAGGGTCGTTACGTCGATACGTTCACCCATGTCGAAGGACGGCGGCTCGGCTTGGCTCTAGGCGCAGTCGTGGCTGCACGCGTTTACGAGAGAACGCGAGGACAGCGGCTTCTATGTGCTAAGGGGTGTGAGTCCCTTCGAGTGCGAATATCAAAAGTTGAGTTCTGCTGGTTGCGGAAAATGCGCGGTCCGAAAAGAAAGTGGCTCTTATATCCAAGTATTACGGGTGCAATGGAACGAGATAGCGAGGATTGCACTAGGTGTCAAACGAGTACAAAGTATGAGCGAAGGCATGAGCGAATACTTATACGCGAAACATGCAAACGGTAACGCGGTGCGTGCGAGCTAGCTAGTGCTAGGCTGGCATCGAGGTTCGTGCTAGCCCCAAAGCGTAGGCCGACACGGCCGGGCTAGCGGTGCATGTTTTAGTGAATAGTGCGCGCGAATGTTAATGAAGCCCCGCCAGCAGTAACGGGCGAACAACGGATGCTGCTGTATGCGATGTTGAGGAACGGAGTAAGGAATGCCAAAAAAATCCTTAGAAACCCCTGTTCTCATCAAAACATGAAGCTGGATTCCCCACACCAGCCAAGCTGTCCCCTCAACCAACATTCAATGTGTGTCTCAACGGATGAAAAATCTGTCGCTCCCTTTTGCCCGTCCGTCTCTCCCCCAGCGACTGGTTGGCAGAACCGAAACCCCGCCAGCTGGGCCTTGTCGGGACCCTTGCCACGCGCGCCAGTTTCCCGTCCCACCTGAACTCCGCACCCCTCGTGCATGTTCCCCATCCACGATGCGGAAACCAACCTGTCTCCACGAAAGCAAATTTGAAGGAAAACCAGCTCACGAAACCGTATGCGAAAGCGAATTTCGAGGTCGGGGAAAAAAAAAAAAAAAAAAAAAAAAAAAACTTCCAAAATCATGCCCTGCGAACGTTGCGACATGTGCAGGACTCACCTGGACAAAACAAATCGTATCGCGAAGGTCGTGCGACATGTATCGTTGGCGTCGTCAACGTCGTCACTCGTTAGGCGTGAGTAAGGCGTGAGCTGGACGTGGAACCATGCACGAGATGATCACCACGACCTCTGCCCTGCTGCCACATGCACCTCGAATCTAGATGCACCGGTTTGGCCGTTCCTTCCCCACAAGAACTGGTTCCCTGTCAGCAAGCTACACTTACATTGCGCGGACCCAACACCCCCTACCGTCCAAAGGAATGTCGCTGTGTGCGTGTACCGTTTGTGTACGGGCAAGGTATAAAATGTGTGTGTTCCCAAAAACAACATGCACACGAGCTTGGGAAAATGGTGTCAGGCATGAAAATAGCGTGCTACAGTACTGTACGCATGTGGCGAGGTGTTCCTCGTCGTGCACCTTTAGACGCAGTTACTTTGGTGTTTTGCATAAGCGTGACAGAGGGACTCGCGAAGCGTTTCGCGCGGGCGTGATGGCTTCGTCAGCGAGAGTCGCACCTGTGCGCGACATTTAGCGGCCAGATCAGCCAGTTCTCGTTAGCCACACAAAACGCGTGCATCCCCAGAAGCAGTTTTGTCTGCAACACCCACGAGAAGCGTGATACACGTTGGGATGCGAAAATTGAACCAATTCACCATCCCAGCTCAAACACATCATGCACAGAACCAATTTTGTGAAGGACACGACGTGCATCATACACGTTTGCATGCGGAAAAAAAAAAAAAAAAAGGCGCACGATGTTCTAGCCCTCAATCTTCTAAAAGTTTTAGCATACGCAGTCGCGTCAAACAAAAGACAAGGGTGTTAAGTGCGCGAGAAACAAAAAATCCATCGTGTGCAAACACACAAGAGGACAACGACGATCCTCGACAGGTGTGCCTGCTGTTCGTGCAACGAGAAGGGTGCTGCCACGGAGGGAAAATTTGCTGAAATAGGTAGCGCGGACTCAACTCTACCATATCGTTTGCGCACGTTCGAAATATGTGTTCAGACGTGTCCATTAGGAAGTTCATCCAATGCAAACGACCCTCAAGACGAATATCCACACATGCACATGAAAAAAAAAAAAAATGTGCCTTGCAAGGCCAGGATTTCAATTAGTGGAGGGGATTACCATAAGTATTAGCATGGGATTTTTTTCCAGTCCCAATGTTAAAACTCAAAACACCTAACGCACACATAAAAGCACACCTAACGCAAAGGGTGCACACCTAACTCTGCCCACGAACGAGTTCTGCACGCGAAGATTGCCAAACATGGCAAACATGAGAATGCACGTGAGAGAACTTCGTTTGCGTACATGGGCGAGTTGCACAATTATGCAACAGATCATGCATCCGACGAAGTGAGGTGTGCACATGGTTATATCTTGTTGTCTTCATGTGAACTCAAAAGTTACTGTGTTTGCGCAAGAAAAACTTTGTCGTGAGCGAGTACATTTTACGTCAAGCAACCGAATACGCCTCTGACGAGCACGAAAATATATCAGTCCGCATGAGATTGTTTTTGTTGTGGGAAAGTATGTGTAGGGGTTGTAGTCGTACGACTGATCACGCTTCAAATGAGGTGTAGGTATGCACACGATGTATTTGTCGTTTAAAACTGTTGCAAAGGTTTCCAGACCCAATCGACCCCATGCTTAACAAAACATGTTAACATAAAAGGGAATGCGCAAAGGCAAACTTACCTCATGCACAAGGTAGAAAGAAAACACAAGTGCTGCGAAAGATTTTTCTAGCACAATGGATTTCGTGCTTAACAAATTGTGACCCAATTCACAATTCGTACAGGGTTAAAAGTCACCACCATGCAAAGCACCTGCGCGTGTAAAAAAGACGTGTGTATAAGAAAAATCACTAGTTGTGGAAAAGTTGCGAGTACAACATCTGTCTACGGGCGAGGTATCTTCTTATCTTGGGATTGACAAATGGTGTATGCTCCAAAGATCAGCATGCGCATGAGCGTGTGACAATGGTGTCAGACATGAAAATGGCGTTGCAGTACGCATGTGGCAAAGGTGTTGCTCGTGGATAAGGTGTAAAAAACATCGTCAGCAGGAAAATTGCTTGTCGATGAGAAGTTCGGTGTACAAAAAAACTTGTGATTTTCCTCAACATCATTGTGAATGCAGCACGTTGACAGACCTTGTCAGAACGTCGAATAATTATGAGCAATGACAACCGTTAGATGCTTGACTTCGAAATCCGAGGATGAAAGATGCCGAATATTTAGAGGATGACCCAAGAACACTTTTGCGTGAGCAGCAAACCTTTATCGCGGGTGCGCGTGTACAGTATTTGTCGAGCACGCTGACAAAGGTGCGCTATATACGGCCAGCATAGCCAGATGCACTTGCGTTACATGTGGCAACAAATGCTGCGCGTGGGGCTAACAAGTTCTGCGCACAAACACGTTCTGGGCACAGTATCTGACGAGCAGGTTTTGCGCACGAACACGAAAACTGCCTGTACTGCACAGTGTCTTTGACGATGTGTAGGTGTGCCCCCCCCCACGATCTTGTTTTGTCGTCTGCGTCTGATCAAGAAAAGAATAGCGTTTGCATGAGATAAGTTACGTCAGGCAACTGATCGTGCCTCTTACGAGGTGTAGTTGTGCATACGAAATTATTTTCTTGTCTGCGCTCGAACACAAAATGAATTGCGTCCGCATGAGTTATTTTCTTCCCCATAACAAAATGTTATTTGTCACTTATGAATCTGAAGGTTGCATTTAATTGTGATTTTTTTTTAATAATGTAACAAAACTACGCAAGATTATTGGTGGGCACGGAAAGAGAGAAGAAAAAGAGAGAGTGGAAGAAGAGAGGAGGAAGAAAAATAGGGAAAATGAAAGAAAAACGGAAAACACAGCCTCAAGAAAACCCCAATAGCACAGCACATAGGGAACCCCACAAGACACCCCAACGAGACACCCCAACAATACCCCCCATCAAACCAAAAACCCCCCCACCTAAACCCACCCTCTAAACCCGCATGTCCACCAAATAGGGCGCATCCGCCCACGGAGCATCCCATCCCATCTCCTCCTCAACATCCTCCCGCTCCACCCAAACAGCCTCTGGGCCTCTCATCATCGACGCCGCGCGTAACAAGATCACACGCGCCTGAGCTCGCTGCAAAGCCACACATATGGCCGCTTTAAGTGATCCAAGCAAGTAAGACGAGAAACATTTTCCCGTAGCTCTCGTCGCCCCTTTCGTCTTCGCTACCTCAATCTGCGCGTCGCCCTGTTTCTTAAACCACCGCCCAAAACTCCCCCCCAGGCAACCCCATGTCTCAGAAATGAGAGGTGTAAACTGCACTCCCCTATGCCGTTGCAGAAGCAATTTGTAGACCGCCGCCGACAACGAGATAGGGTCCACCACACTAACCTCCAGCGCATGCTCCTCCCCCTCCCTCAGTCTCTGAACCGCCACATCCACCCTCTTCCCTGGCAGCAACGTATCGTCTTCCATGGTCACAACCCCACCCGCCCCTTTAGCTATCTTCGCCACCACAAACTTAACCGCATCGTGAACACGAGAAGGTGCATACTGATACTTGCAGCGAAGGGCATGATGCGGGTCAGAGGGATCAGCAAACTTAAACCCACACGCGCACTTCCCGGCGACTATCAGCTGCTGTATGGGGAGGCCTAGGCGCATGGACGCGCAGATGCTCCACTCGGCTGCGGTGAAGGTAGCCTCTTTGTGTGAAGGAACGGTGTAGACCCACGCCCCTGCCCCCGGGCCCTAAAGGGATATCAAACGGTCCAGGGTGGCATCGTCGTGGGCCATACCCCGAAGTGTCTGCAGACTCTCAACCGCTAGGCGACGGTGTTGTGTGGGTAAAAGCAGCACAGGGGGGTCAGCGGTGCACAAGGCAAGGGGTGGCATCTCCTGCCTGACCGACTGTAGAAGCAGCTCGACTGCTCTCGCAAACCAAGGATCCAGCAAGGTCGTAGCCTCGGGCGTGCGGAAAAACTCCTCAAACATCCGCTCCTCCCCTGCCACCCCCATCCGAGCCACATCGCTCACTACCTGGCACCAACCACATACGTACGACAGAGGACTAAGGTCAGCTGCAGATCAAATGCCAAACCCTCCGAGTCTGGCAGGAAGGTGCAGCTGTAGACGGGCCATCTGCGACTTTTCCGAATCGTGATCCCAGGTGCTATCTGGAAACAGCTGCTCAAAACAAGCTTAGTGTCCCAGTCGCGAAAAGCCTCCACAACCTCAGGCCGAGGAGGCATCGTCCGTGTGAGGTAAATCGGGCGCGCTGACACTGCGATCGCCAGCAAATGGGACGCAATCTGTGGGTGGTCAAGCAGAGGAAGTCAAGGGACAGGTGCATGCAGCTGCGTCAGCCGGCCTCGCAGGCTAGCCACCTCCCACTCCTCCTCCCCAATAGGAACCCCTACTACGGTGAGCCCCGTCCATGTCTGCTGCATGCCGGGCGGGACAGTCTCGTTCCTCTTCTCTCCCTCCTGGTCCACCCCTCGCTCCCATAGCTTGCACTTATGCGGCTGCACCTCCATACCAAGCCCGTCCAATTGTTCCCGCAAGACCTCATAGGCTGCTAACATCCGCTCCATAGGCCCCAAGATGTACGTATCATCGGCGTAGCTGAGAAAGAGTAGGTCGGCGAATTCTTGTTTGGTTGGTTCCATAACCAGCTGCTGTGTGAACGCGAACAGAAATGGTCCCAATGGGTCCCCTTGCCTCGAGCCCCGCTCGGAAGCCAAAGCTTCGACGAAGGGGCCCGCACGGAGATAGAGGTCGCTAGGAGTGCCGTAGAAGACACGCAGAAATGGGATCAATCCCGCGAAAGACGACTGTCGAAGACCTTCAAACATTTCCTGCAGATGGAAGGAGTTGAAAGCGTTCGCCACGTCAATTTGTGGTGCACACCATGACGGGTGAGTAGAGATGGCAGAACGAAAGGCATGTGCGAGGACTTCCACTCCCGACCTGGATCCGACTCCAAGCTGGTTACACGGCGCAAAGTGCGATATCATCTTCGGCCGAAGCACGATGCACAGGGCCCGAGATAGTATGCGGGGGAGCACCTCGCCTATAGCCACCGGGCGAACGTCACCATTCGGCTTCGACAGGCCCACAAGGTTGGACGCAGTGAGCCAGGGTCGCACGCGCTCCGCTACCTCTCCCTTGGTCCACTGGGTGAAGACCCCTAGCAGGTGAGGCAGGTATGCGGGCTCAGAGAGAAAAGTGTCACGCAGGTGCTCAGTCGCCCACCCCGACGGTCCTGGTGCCGACGCCCTAGCCGCAAAGTGGATCGCCAGACTAAGTACCTCCACTGAGAGCTGTGGGATAAGGGAAGGCTCAACTGTCTCCTCCTGCACCCACTCCGGAATGGCGGTCTTGCTCGATGGGTGTTTCGCTCGTAGCGCGTCCACCATGTGCTGAGAGGGCTGAGCGATGCTACCAGCCGTAAGGCACGCCAAACCCCGACTCCATTCTCCCACTTTGCACCTTGTGCGGCAGCGAGCCAGGCGCACTGCATCAGGGTCATGCTCGGGGGGGGGGGGGGAAGGACAAAGGACGAGCCGCAGGTTGCATCGCCGCCACCGCCAACTCAAACAGCTCCCGCCACTCCCCAGCCCAAAACTTCTCCAACCGCTCCCTGATTGCTGCCCTGTGCCCCTGGCCTTGCCCGGTTGGAATCCCCAAGAAAAGACGAGGGAAGGCCAAAAACACCAAGGATGCCGCCTCGTCTGCTGCCTTTGTCTGTAGCCGCTTCAGGACACAAGATAGTGCATCAAGCACCCCTAGTCTAGCACGCTGTGGGATGCGACGCATGATTCTCCCTGGCACCAATTCGATCCCAAAAAACGACTCCCAATCCCATGTAGGAACTCCGGCCCACACCTCTTCACTGATATCACGTGGTGGCGGGGGTTCGCCGTCCGAGTCGTCTGTGACGTCACGGGTCAACCCAAGCGCCTGAGCACGACGCTGGGCGTCCGCTGCCCTGCAGGCCGACATATGGCGTGTGGCCTTTCCTCTCTCCGTGAAAGTGCGATAACAGGTTTCGCACGGGATGCGGGGCTGGGGTGTCAGTGTAGGATCTGGGAGCTCCTCTCCACTCGAACACGCCGGCAAGACCCTTCTGCTCGACTCCGTCTCCATGCCCCCCTCTGGCAGCCTTGCAAGCTCCAGCCCTCCGCTCTGCAGCTGCTGCTGCCCTCTGCTCTGCAGCTGCTGCTGCCCTCCGCTCTGCGGTTGCTGCTGCCCTCCGCTCTGCAGCTGCTGCTGCCCTCCGCTCTGCAGCTGCTGCTGCCCTCCGCTCTGCAGCTGCTGCTGCCCTCCGCTGTGCAGCTGCTGCTGCCCTCCGCTGTGCAGCTGCTGCTGCCCTCCACTCTGCAGCTGCTGCTGCCCTCCGCTCTGCAGCTGCTGCTGCCCTCCGCTCTGCAGCTGCTGCTGCCCTCCGCTCTGCAGCTGCTGCTGCCCTCCGCTCTGCAGCTGCTGCTGCCCTCCGCTCTGCAGCTGCTGCTGCCCTCCGCTCTGCAGCTGCTGCTGCCCTCCGCTCTGCAGTTGCTGCTGCCCTCCGCTCTGCAGCTGCTGCTGCCCTCCGCTCTGCAGCTGCTGCTGCCCTCCGCTCTGCAGCTGCTGCTGCCCTCCGCTCTGCAGCTGCTGCTGCCCTCCGCTCTGCAGCTGCTGCTGCCCTCCGCTCTGCAGCTGCTGCTGCCCTCCGCTCTGACCTTGCTGCTGCCCTCCGCTCTGCAGCTGCTGCTGCCCTCCGCTCTGCAGCTGCTGCTGCCCTCTGCTCTGCAGCTGCTGCTGCCCTCCGCTCTGCAGCTGCTGCTGCCCTCCCCTCTGCAGCTGCTGCTGCCCTCCGCTCTGCAGCTGCTGCTGCCCTCCGCTCTGCAGCTGCTGCTGCCCTCCGCTCTGCAGCTGCTGCTGCCCTCCGCTCTGCAGCTCCTGCTGCCCCGTCCCCACCGGCGGCTGCCGGCTCCTCTCCCGGGCCTCCTGCTGCCCGCCCACCTGCGGGTCCCGCTGGCCCCCCACTAGTGGCTCCTGCTGCCTGTCTTTCCCCGCCGCTCTCTGGCGCCTCTGCCATTCCTGCCGCCGTGCGAGACGTGGCACGACCGGGGGGATTGCGGCGTCGGCCGAGCTGGCCCCGTGCAGCATTGCCCTCTCAGGTAGGCAACGTCTGCGAGTGTCATGCTGTTGTTGCAAGCGCCTACGGTGTTCCTCCCAAGCTGCCCTCGCTACCTCCGATGCCTCCCGTGGTACACCCACCACCTCGTCGACTGGACCCTTTTCGGTTGTTGCTCCCCCCCTTTCTCCGATGATGGCCGAAGGTACGGGGTAATCGCCGTCAGACCCGGTATTGGGAGGGTCTTCGAGAGGTTTGCATGAGATTAGTTACGTTAGGCAACTGATCGTGTCTCTTACGATTAGTTTGCATGAGATTAGTTACGTCACGAAATAATTTTCTTGTCTGTGCCCAAACACGAAATGAAATGCGTCCGCAAGAGTTATTTTCTTCCCCATAACAAGATGTTTTTTGTCGTGCTTGCTAACAAAGGTGCGCAGACATCTTGTCGTGAGTGCAGACAAAGATGCACTGGCAGATACATGTTGTGCGTGAGAGAAATTTCCGCGTGCAACCAACCTCGCCTTTGACGAGGTGTGTTGACACACTGTTTTTCTCGTCTACGTGCGAGCACGAAATTGACTGCGGCCGCGTGCGGTAACTTGATCGTGAGATCATTTTTTGTGTGGATCACGAGGTTTTTTGTCGTTCGTGCTGACGACGTTGCATGGGCAGATGCATCTTGTGGATGAGAACATAGTTTTTTTTCCTCAATCAACATGCTTTCCATCGTTATTTATTTCAACAGGTCATGTTTTACTGGTACAAGAGTGTTTTGAAAGTGTATTATTTGTTGCGCTTAACGAAATTAGTCCAAATGAGCCATCCGTAACACATGTCGCAATCTCGTGGCGAAATAATTCGTTGCTCGCTTGGACGCATGGTTACTCGCCAGATGTCGAAAAGTCATAACCCCGTTGAGATGTATTGTGGGAAAGTACATGCTGCTGCGATCAGAAGTTGATCGTAACCAGGATCTCCTCAGGAAGGTTCGCACAAAGTAGGTGTGTTGGTGGTGTGCCCTTGACCTCGAATCAGAGTGGATGTAAAATGATCGAGAAAATTAAAACATGCAAATACAAGCATTAAAATTAGTGATACAGGGGAATACTAAACGTCCTAGCTAGCCATGTACTCTAAGGGGTACATTCCTTTATTCAAATTCAAACCCAACCGTGCGGCGCGTACAGTTACAGAACTGTTCCCGCCAATTCCCTTGCTGCTGCAGCTGCCCGATGCCGTTTCATGCTGACGGTCCAGATGCATTCCAACTGTTTGTGTCGCTTCGAGTCAACTCTGGCTGTTCGTTTCCTGCTTCGATACAGTGTGCTTCATTTGCTGCTGTCAGGAGTGCACACTGCTTTTCTTAGTTTATCATTCGTAACACCCCCCTTCACTCCTGGCCGTAGCTCGAATTGACCCGTTTGGCCACTCCGCTGAGTTCGGAGCAGTGCTGGTACTGCTGGCGTGGCAGTCGCTTCGTCAGGAAGTCAGCTGCCATGTCACCTGTCGGGCAGTATGTCACATCCGCCTTCCCCTTGTCCACTTCGTCCTTGACGAAGAAGTACCGCAGCGCAATGTGCTTGGTGCGGTTGACGAATCCAGGCTTGTTTGCAATTTGGATCGCGCTCTGGTTGTTGCAGTGCAGGCAAAAGGTTGGCGATGTTGGGATTTTCGCCTCTTGCAGGAGTTCCTGCAGATAGAGACCTTCGCGAACTGCTGCTGTCGCGGCGATGTATTCAGCTTCGGCCGATGACAGGGCAACCAGCTCCTGTTTCTACGAGTTCCATGAGATTGGTCCTGCTGGCTCTAGGTGAAACAGGAACCCAGTCCTGGACCGTCGATTGTCGGGGTCTGCTATGTGATCAGCGTCCACCTAGCCAATGAGGTTGAAGGATGGGGTTGGCACTGTTGAGCAGCAGAGTTCGATCGTGGGCGTGGAGATGAAGAACTGTAGGGCGCGCTGCAGATCCAGAAGATTCTCAGCCGTTGGTTTGCGGGAGTACTGAGCCAGTTGGCTCGCGATGTACGAAAGATTAGGTCTGCATGTCACTGAGGCAAAGAGCAGGCAACCCAGCTGCTGTTGGTAAGTCTGGATTCCAGCAGGGGACAGGGCTTTGTTGTCGGGTTTGTGGCTTGGTCCGGGAGTGCGATAAGGGGTGGAGAGTGGTGGAGGCGTAATGTTGAAACGTTTGCCAAGCTCCTCTGCATACTTAGCCGCTGAGAGGTGAAAAGCTTCTTGCGCGTAGGATATATTAAGTCATAGGAACTGCATCACGTCGTGGTTGCAGGTAATGTCGATGCGCCCTGCCAGGTTCTTTTTGAATTGCTCGAGCAGCTCGTTGCTCGACCTTGTGTAGAGCAAGTCGTCGACGTAGACCGTGAGCAGAATGTAATCCCCGCGGAAATCGCGACGGTACATCCCAGGATCATGAGGCAGCTGCTTGAAGCGTATCTCAAGCAGGATGTTGTGCAGGTATTGCTGCCAGAGTCTTGGTGCTTGTTTGATCCCATAGAGGGACTTTTGTAGCTGGCACACGCGCGAATCCCCTTCGCCGTACATGTGCGGCTGCTCCACGTAAATGACCGCATCTACTTGCGCGTACAGGAACACGTTCTTCACGTCGATTTGGCGAAGCGGTAGATGTCTTGCGGCAGCGATGGCGAGCAGGATTCTGACGGAGGTGTGACGGCTGACCGGTGCGAACGTTTGATCGAAGTCAATGTCGTGACTCTGATCGTAGCTGCGTATGACCCAACGCGCCTTGAAGTGTTCGATCGTGCCGTCCGCTGCGGTCTTCACGCGGAAGACCCATCTTCTGGAGAGAATCCTTCTCCCCCTGACTGCTGCTCGATCAACGAGGACCCATGTATCGCGGAATTACAGCGCTTTGATTTCCGCGTCCATCGCTTCGCGCCACTCCTTGCTGTGTGGTCCCGAGAGGTCTTCATCGTCATCATCGCTGCTGTGGCGATCTCCTCCTCCAAAATCGCATCTGGTGTCTTGCTCCAGGATAGCCGCAGCCTCTTCATCTTTGGGCGTTGCGTAGCTGTGCCTGTCGTTGGCGTAGACGTGGTTCGCATTCATTCGTTCGTCTTCGCAGAATTGGTCGAGGAAGAGTCGTTCCTAGAAGATGACGTCGCACGCATTCGTAATCTTCTTGTTGATGAGGTCCAAGATGATCCACGCCTTGTGTTTAAGGCTGATGCCGAGGTGGATTCCCCAGCGCGCGCGTCTTGCGAATTTGCCGATGGTTGACGTCGGCAGCCGATATTGCACCATGCACCCCCAAACACGGAGCATGGATGTGTCGCCTTTGGTGCCCGTCCATTTCAAGTGTGGCGACAGGTTGCCGGTGATGGCGGTGGTTGACAGCAGGTTGTGCACCCGCACAGCGTGGTGCATCGCGTGTGTCCAGTACGTCGGCGGAAGCTTCGACTGCTTCAGCAGCACACCCACTTTTGTCATGAGTGTGCGATTCATGCGCTCAGCGATGCCTTGCTGTCGATGTGCGTAGGGAAGACAGATGTGATGCTTATTGCCTTTCTACGCCATGTAGTCTTGCAGCTCCTTGCTGCGGAATTCCGCTGCGCCGTCTGACTGCCAAATCTTCAGCTTCTTTACAGATTGCCGCTGCGCGTGCGCCAGCCAGAGGCGGAATACCTCATACGCTCTGCTGCGGAGCTCGACGTTGACTACCCACACGTAGCGGGTTCCCGCGTCAATGAACGTGAGCGTGTACTACTCGTCGTTGAGCCCGCAGTGGCCGACAACGAGGAAATCGCTGAACACCTTGTGCAGCTTTGGGTAGCGGTTAGTCCCTCGTTCCCGTAGGGGGAATGGTTGATGGCAGGCTCAGCGCAGCTTCGGGGCAGACGGTGCAGTTGCACGGCTGTGTTGTACTCCTAATTTCGGTGCCGTCAGGCCACGGGAGAGTGCCAGGTGCGAAAACACCTGCGTTGATGCAGCTTTTTAGCGTCGCGCGCGAGGGATGACGGAGGCGCTGGTGCCAAAGGTTGTCGCTGGCGCGAAATCCGGAGGTGCGCATGTAGCGTCCGCATACTGTCTCAGGGTCTTCTTCTGGTACCGGTGCTGGTTCTGCTGCTGCTTCTTTATCTTCCTCTTTGTCGCTCGCCGTAGTCAGCATCAGTGCCAAAAATTCTCTGTCACGGATTACGGAAAGTGGGATGTTTGTCCCGGCGATTGTGCCGGGGAAGTAGATAGGTTCGCGCGGCTCGGGATCGGGTCCGTAGGCTGTGCGACGCGGGTTCGACGGTTCGTTGCCCTAGTCGATGGTGTCTCACGGGTCTTGGTGTAGCTGGATGTCAGGTGGGGGTAGCGCAGGTGTGGGAAGGCGCGGGGGGCGGCCGAGAGGAACAACGCGCGGCTCGGCTTCTGCTCCCCCCCGTTGTTCTTCTCGCCAAGCACTCCAGCCTTCGCCGGAAGTGCCCTATCCGCTGGTGTCGTTGCCAGTTGCGGCGCACCAGCCGCTAGTGTCGCTCGTTCCCCATCCGCCAGCGCTTCCCCACCCCCTTTCATAGGAGGCGCTCTCTTCCTCAGCTCCCCAAGCGATGCAGGCAAATGTCCCGCGTACTTTGGCGAGGCTTTTTCGGCGAAGTTCTTCGGCTACGCGGTGCGCCAGCTCCTCTTCTTGTTCCACGGTAAGTGTCGTCGTGGGGTCGTGCCAGTGAGGGTACAGTTATATGGATTCTTCTTTGGTGTAGGGGCGCGCCACTCCGCGCGCGTCGAAGGTTCCGCGGCGCTGTCTGCGTAAGATGTTTTTGAGCCGCTGGGAGGGGGAACCCGCAAGTGGGTTTTGATTTTTTCCAAAGACATGGCGAGAAACCACTTCCAGCTCCAGCACCGACATGCCTTCTTTTGGCGGCGCGGATCAGCTTTGGCTATGGCGGCAAGTCCACGGCCGACGATAGCGCTCGTTGAGGCAGTGGGCATATGACAG